GTACTTTTGCCATTTTTATTATTTTTATATATTTAGCTTGAATTTATTTTTTATTTAAATTTTAGTTCTTCATTTTGAACTTATTTTCAGTTAGTTGCCACAGCAACATTTCAACTTTTCATTTAATTTGTTATGATATATTTTACATTATTTCAGCTTTATTTTGGTTAAAAATATATTTTAATAGTTTTAGGCTTAGTTAACAATAACAACATTGGTATGACTTTATTTTCTATAAACCCACTTTTACTGTATGTACAAAAACAATTCTAAATTTTGTGTTTCTCAAAACATATAAAGTCATACAAGTTTGAATGACATGACAGTGATTGATCACAGAATTTTTTATTTCTTTAATATCCATCATTTCACCTGGCTGGCCACACTATTTTGTGACAGCAAAAAAAAACATAAAACACAAGAAGGCACAGAACTATATTTCTTAATTGGCCCTGACTGCGTTTCAATGCTTGGATCTTAGGGACCGCTCTCAGCTCCTGCATTCAGCTTCCTCTTTCTTTTCCCTGCTTTCGACAAACCTATTGAAAATGAAAAGAGGAAAAGGCCACATGAGGCTTCCCCAAACAAGGTTATTAAATGGCCACTGGATCAAGAAAGCGGTCCCTGAAATGCTTTTTAGTCCATCTTGTTTTTCTTATTACTGCTGCGTCTGTTTACAGCTGGGACAAAGGCTTCAAACAGCCAGTGGCCTGGGGAAAGACACATGAGGGGAGCAGCTCTCCCTGTTATTTAACCCAGCAAGATCTTGTCTGGTAACACAGCTTTATCTCTTAGAAAAGAGGAGGTGGGGTAATAAGGTCAGTCAAGCCCAGGAGACAAGGAAGTGAGACTCAGGAGAATGAGCGTGAGATTTTTCTAGATAGTGAGAAGGAGAGAAGGACATATGGACAGAGGGAAGGAGGGCGGAGGAAAGGGACAAATGATAGTCACAAAGTCTCTGTTCACAGTGAAGCTTAAAACATTGAGTGTCCTGCTTTTACTTCTTAATCCAGTTAGATATAGTAGGGTAGTGGGAGGAAGTCTGTCTACAGACAGCAAGATCTGACTATTGGAATGAACTCATACAGCGTCTGCATGATAATTGCATCTGAATGCTGAGAGTGACTGCACAACCATTTTTATTTTCACACGATATCAGGAAGTAATTACACACTGTGTGCACATCATTCTACTTTTCTATCACTGAGCCATCCAAAGTTTGGCTTCGGCAACGGATTATGCCATGCATCTGCAATTTCAGATGAAACTAACCTTGAGTGAAAACACCTTTAATTACTTTAGAACCAAATTGGGAAACTCAAGCATTAAAACCACACGATGTTCGAATATCCTACCTATGCTTGGATGCATGTGGCCCAGGTTCAAGATTTACAGCGGTTTATAGCATTCCCACAACTTCTGGATATTTAATTTTCCTTATTTTAGAGAGTCACAAAGACAAATTCCAATTAAACGCTTTCAATTTGAGGATAACTGTAAAATCTATGTTCGTTACATAATTTTCAATTACTTTTTAAAGATTTTATTACATTCAACTTGGGATGGGAATTGTGAGCAATTTAGGTTTTGGATTCTTCAAAACGAGTCTGGTAACACGAACGATTCTTTTGAGAAGTCTTAAAGGGGTAGTTCACCCCAAAATTACAATTCAGTCATTATTTACTCACTCTGGTGTTCTTCTAATGCTTTCTTTTACAGATCACAAAAGGAGAAAAAAAATAATCTGCTGCCACTCATCCATATAGTGCGCTGCTAGAATTACATATTTTTGTAGGCCTACCTGGAAGCAAGCTAGTATTTTGGAACTTCCAATTCCATCGTCCAGAAGTCGATGGTTTGTTTTAATGGGTTTTTAGTTAAATGGCTGAAATAAAGTCTGTGGTTAAAACAAGCTCAAGATATTTTTATATTTTATTCTACAACATTAGATACATTAGTAACACCACACTCATGACTTTTTTAAGCTTTTATGTGTCTGGAAAAAGGTGGTTGTTAACGAGTGGCTAAATTAGACTGTAGATGTTGTCGGGGTCATTACATTTCATCACACCAAACACAAAAACTTGCCTAACAGTCTACTTTTACAGCCTTGCTGCATTTATATTTGTGCCCTTGCAAACTATTCAAATTTTCAGGTGAAAGTTTTTTTTAATTTTTTTTTTAATAAAGGCTGAAAGAGATGACAGAGGTTTAAACTTTTTACTTCTGGCAATTATATTTAGATTTCAGAATTCATAAAAGTTGTGCTCATTTGTGAACACTATCATGATGAACAAATTGTGTATGAATCATACATTTTTGTTGGTCACAGAGCATATTTTCAGCAATAATCTAAAAGCCAATGGAAAACCCTTTTGGGATTTTGACAAGGGAACCAGGGTGATGCAGGCTGGCCTACAAAAAAATATCACTGCAGTATTCTGTAGTGACCAGCTTCAAACTTTAAGGAAAGAGATGTAAAAGTAACACAGAATGATCCCATGCAACTTGTGCCACATTTTGCAAGTGTTCTAAAGGCTTATGATAAGGTTTGGTGAAAAACAAACCAAAATTTAAATGATTATTTAGCGAATATCCTGAATTTGGCCATTGTTCTGACTTTGCACTATATTAGTGCAGCAGTTCACTCTGGCTCATCAAGGAAAAGCATACAAGCGCATAATTTTGAGAAATCAGGATTAATTAAAATGAAACATATGGTAGATATGGAATCATTCTGTGATACTTTTGCCTCTTAATATTTAAAGTTTGAAGCTGGTTGCTATTCAGTACCATTATATGGATGAGTGCGAGCAGGACATTTTTTTTATTTCTCTTTAAATGAAAGTCAGTCATATGGCACTAGAACAACACCAGACTGGGTAAATAATGTCTGGATTTTTATTTTGGGTGAACTGTTCATATAAGAACAACATTGTTTTATGGAGTTGGACAAGACGACATTTGTCCAGCTGTTCAGTAAGTGAGTCAGATCAGTCATAATACACAGGTAAAGCCTTATGTTTTTGATTCACTAAAAATAATCAGCTCATAAGAGTCATTTATTCAAGAATCAGACTACCCTAGACATGCTGTCTGTTTCTGATCCATTATAGAGCATCAGCTCATAAGATTCATTCCCTAAAGACATGGACTTCACTAGTCACGCAGTATGTTTGTGATCCACTAACCAGCTCATATAAAAGTCAATCGCTTGACTTTTCAAGTAAACTAAACAGAACACAAAAAGCATTCGCTCGACAACTGGACTTCGCCGGTCATGCTGTGTGTTTCTGATTCATTAAAAAACAGCTCATAAGAGTCATTAGCTCAGGAATTGACTTCACTGGTCATACTAAAGTTTCCACACTGTGAATGTCATGAAAACATTTTGGTATTATAGTATTTTTTTAAACAATGATTCACTGTTTCCAAACCTTTTATTCAGTGACTTGTTTTCACAACTATTTGACATTGATCACATTGCTCCGCTCTAAAATAAAACGTTTCGAGATCAGAACTGTAATTCAGTTGCACTTGATCTATTTGATTTGATATGAAGCAAGCAAGTGCAGTGTTAATGAGGTCTTATGCAGGAAATTTCAGAACTTGTGCCGCCCAGAGCCCCAGCATGATGAACATAGACTAAATTCCTCCGCTCTCACTCTGCAGACCGGCACATCTTTGATTGAGTGGCCGTTTTGTGATAATAAGCAGCATACATTTTCAGTTAAATACAGTAATGTTCTTTTCTGTAGCGATAAAATGTGAAAAAGACCAAGGAAGATGAATACATGCAATTTCTGGCCTTCCACATCCATTCCATTTCATTCATCTGTTGTACCTTCTGTATTAGCATGTGTTACCACTGGCTACAGCACAGCAGATGCGCTCTCCACTTTTTTTGGGGGAACATCAAGGGAAGTGAATTCAGGGACTTTTATCTCCTTAATTATGTAAATTATATGCCACTGATATTCCTTATCAAGACTAGAGGAAGCTGTGTTTCTTCCCTGGCAAGTTGTGAAGCGAGAGTCTGAATCCATTCATGCTGAACAGTTTCTCCAAACTTGGCGAAAGAATTTCATCCTGACTCACAATAGGATGAAAAAAAAAAGCCTCGGCTCATAACTCATTTCTCAGATACAGTGCGACTCTAAATCAGTGCTGCCTTCAATTGTGTGCTACTTTTTCTTGCACCCAGTGCCACAGCTGTGCAATTCATCTGCAAGGCCCTTAAAGCTCGACCACTCTGTGAAAATGTTCTGCATTTACAACTTTAGCTGCAGCTTTATTCAAATATTATTTTGGCATTCTTCACACAATATCTATCACTGCTCCATTTGCACACCATTTACGCAAACATCTCTCACTTGAACTCAGGTACAGTATTACTTGCCGTTCAGACTCACTTCAGAGATTCAATTTTAAATCAAGTCAGATGAGTAGAAAGCAGTGAAGAATGAGACGTCTGATAAAAACAACCGTTGCACAATGTGCTACATATTTTCTAAGGATTCCTTACGGGGAATTGAAATCAATTATATGTGGAATGATGTTGTTGTTACCACTTAGTGTCTTACTGGCAACCTTTATCATCTAAATCAGGTCCAGGCATTCATTGTGGTACTAAGACTTAAGGTAAACAATTTAAGAGGTTTTTGACGAATTAGAACACACAGGCTCTTTATTACTGCAATTAAATATGACTAATACGCTCAACTGCAGATTAGGATCATTGACAGAACCAACATGGACCGACAATAATCGCTATATGAATCAGCAGCATGGATTTTGTAGAGTAGTTACTGATTGCATCAGGAATTCAAGTCGACATGCACAGGATAACAATGCCCTGAGGTTAGTGAGTGAAAACCGGTTCCAGAACTCTAAAAGACCATCAGGGAAAGCCAAAAACTCGCTGGTTTAATAATTAATCAGTCTGTCACAATCGTAAATGTTCCTGACACTGCATAAAGGGAGCATTAAACTGTATGTACCTGCTGTGAAATTGTAGCTTGCAGAAAATCCCATCGCTTCCAATTCACCATCCGCAACAAATTTTATCCATAGGTAACGGCCGCTCGATCTGATATATGGAGGGTTCTGCTGGCCACAGTAGCGTCCAATTATTGGAGAAAAGCCAAAGGGTCCGTCCCGGACTTCAATATGGTCAAATTTACATTCCCATGAAGGCTCTATTGAATACTTTTCATCAAAGAAAAGATCAATGCATTGTCTCGGGGGAGCTGCAAAGGAGAAAATAAAAATAAATCAAGACTGACATCTGTAATTTATGATGGATGATGTCATATGTCCAACACACTCTCATGGCAATTCGTAACTACAGTTTGGTAGGTGAACTGGTGGCCAATCTGGTTAGATTTAGGGATGGACCTTTGCGATTAAGTTTTTTTTGTTTATTAATTTTCTTCTTAAAAACGGTGCATTTCTGTATGAATCACATTCATATGAAAATCTCCACCTCGTATAATAGTTACGATTCACCACAAGATTGGGTTGGGTATGTTAGTCATTATTAATATACAAAGAAATTATTGGACATTTATTTCTACTGTAACATGAAAATCACCCAAAATCACTACAATTTTGTAAGGAAGAATGAAATAACTTATATATCGCATACTATTTGTAATCAGTGCTGTGTAGTGACTGTTTACATGTAATCTTGATTACGTAATCAGATTCCAAAGATTACATTTTAAATAATCAGACTAGTTATTTTATTATTGACTACATAAACACATATTCACACAAACTTTCTCAAAATGTCAACATTGCATAAACTACCAATGAGCATTATTTTTATTTTAATTATTACTCAGTGGGTTTTTTAACCATGTATTTATTATAATAGTAATAATAGTGTACTATGGTTTTGGAAGGCTTTTGTCTTTTGTCAAAAACATTAAAATGCACTAAATCTTTTTAGTGTTTTATTTTGATTGTTATTTTAAAATTATTTATTTTAATTTGAAGTAATCTAACCAGCACCGTTTGAAATCGTATTAGGACGGCAAAGAGAGTATCACATATAAACCATCTAATTGCAAGAAAATGACTACTAGCTTCTTAGTTCAATTTGATTATTAGCTTACAACAGCACAGCATGCTAGCAGTCCAACAGATGCGATTGAAAGACAACCCCATTTTTACCCACTTTTGTGGAAATCTAATTGCGTTAATCAAATTAACGTTCAGATCTTGAGAGATTGTTGATCTATAGAGCCTTCTGTTATGAATGCAAATTAAACACTAGTGTTTATTAGCATCATAATGGTGCTGCATAGGATTAACAATCAACTGATTGCTCCTGCATCTTTCACTCTGAGTGCCACTGCGCTGCTGAACAATTCAAAACAACCCCCACCATCCAAGAGTCACATGACAGATTTGTTTGTGTGTTGCATTTACTATTCGGACAAGGTATTTTTTTTACCTTCAATGATGTAGATGCATTCTCGCTCTGGAGGATATTTGTTTGGGTAATTGGGTGAGGTGAAGAGGCCTCCCTCTGGTTCTTTCACCCAGGTTCCACACTGCCCTGCCGGCTGCACTCCTGAATTGTTTTTCACTGAGAGAGAGAGAGAGAGCAGTCAAATGTCAGAGATTGCCAGGAAACATGGAGATGGAGAGTGGGTGGGTATTCTGTGACAAAACATCATTACCTGCTTCCTTCTTTGTTGCCCCAGACAACCCAAGCATGAGAAGACCTGCAACAACTGCAACAAAAGATTTAAGATCAAAACAGCATAGAATCATGTGGATTCATTATGAACATACAGTTGGACCGAAGGGTACAATTCCTATATTCATGCTGGACTAAATTGCAAAACGTATATTTGAAAATGCACTTTAGGAATGGCTGAAAATCAATCTGAAATAGTAAATAGTAAAATAGAAATGTTTTTATTATTTGTATTTGTTTTTAATGCAGTGCACACAATTAATGCAAATGAAAAACCAAAGTGCATTTATTTATTTTAGTCTTTATTTTGCATTTACTTTCCAAACGGTTTGATTTGCTGTGGATGTACTGCAAGTTTGGAGAAAAAGAAGAATTCAGCTTAAGATGGTAGCTGTTTTGAAATATGGTAGCTGGTTTAGTTGGTCCTAGCTGGTCACTGGCTGGTTGTCTAGCTACAAACCATCTTAAACTGATACGACCAGTTGGCTTTTCTGCTGTTCCAAGACGCTCTACCAACTTGAACTAGCTAATTACTAGCTTGTAATGACCATCTTAGGCCAGCTAGAAACCAGCTACCATTAAAAACCAGCCTAACCAGCTTGTTGATGGTGTTTTGCTGGTCCATGATGGTTTGCCAGCTTGAGGACCACCAAATCACCATCTTGGACCAATTAATAACCAATCTACACCAGCTAATGATCATTAAGACCAGCTAGAAACCAGACTTAAGCTGTATTTTCCAGCAAAAAAACAACACAACTGGGAAAATATATGCTATCCTGTCATGATGCATCTGCAGTTGCAAATCACTCAAAATAAATTAAATGCAACTATTTCAATCAGTTTACAATAACACACAAAGTTCCTAAAGGAATAAAGCAAGACAGACCGATAAATGCAGATAGACCTCATGCGTAAAATAAAACAGAGAGAAGAGAGTGAAGTTAACTGGCAGCTGGACTCACCGTGAAGGAACCTGTTCCCATGTACCATGTCTATTCCTTTCACAAAGGGCTTTCTCAACTAATTCCATTTAGATCGAAATACTTTCAGAAGAAAAAATGGATATTTGCGGGGGAAAAAAGAAGCAAAAATCACAGCGAATATGTCAACAGCCCTGAATTCATTCCACTATACTGACAATTGAGATTCCAGCAGAGATCCACAACTATGCATTAGTAGTTCCGTATAAAACCAGAAAAAGGTGCAAACATTTCCATCCAAACGTTTCCAAACCCCTCTGGTGCTCTTGATGGATTAATAGGTCCGTCCGTCATTAGCTTTTCCTGATCGCTCCACCTTTCCAGAGTCATCACGAAAAGATTCATAAAGGGGAAATGTTGGAAAATCTTCCAACCATCTCTAAGGAACACTTATCAGAATATCCATTCCAATTCATTTTTCCATGGTTGAGCAAAGCCAACTTCAACAAGAAAACTCACAGCGTCAAGAAACGTGTTTAAAGCCTCATTCCCGTGTTTCCTCGCCAGTATATGCAGTACAAAACCCCTTTCCTGCTTCCCCCCACATCAAAGAGTTAATTCATATCATCGCTCCTCTCCGGCCATTCATTAATTTCAGTTCTTCAGCAGAGTTATGTCAACATGATGCGGCAGCACACGGAACTGTTCGTCATATGTCCGTCCACTAAAGATAATGTTGATGCTCTTGAAGACGCACCGCAAAGCCGGTCAGACTGCGGAATCCAATGAATCCAACACCTCACGCGGCAGCACTAGAGCAAAATTGGG